TAAAAGAACCTGAAAAAGAAAATGAATAATTGATATGAGATCATTTGAGCACTGTAACAACACAGCAGTATATGTCTTATCTTTTTTTAGTTGACGATTGTCCAAAAAAAAAAAAAAAAAAGTGGAGAAGAACGTTATCAATTTCTTTATTTCTTCGTTAATCGTTTCATCAATTTTTTGCTGTTATGTAAGAACTGAACTTTGGCCTCTGGATTAACCGCAATATCAAAAATTATTGGTGACTTTTGTAGCTCTAAATTTTCATCAACCAAACTGCAGTTGATAAATTTTGTATAACCATCTGATGTACAGCCATAACCTGTAACGATATCAAATTTAGATTCATTAATTTTGCTACAACTGTTCACTAAGCACAACTATATCCAACTATTTTTATTGTTTTCTTTTAAGAAAAAAAAAAAAAGGGAAAGAAAAACTAATTAACCACACTTGAAGATTTTGATTTTTAATAATATTGCAGTTAAAACGCACCAAAAAAAAATGGGAAAAAAAAAAACGAAAAATAAGACAATAAAGCTGATGCTTTAAAGAATTGGAAATTTAAATGAAATTGAAATCGGCACCGCTGTGAATGTGTCCAAAAACATGATACTTTGGTCGAATTCGACGAACCACCGAATTCAGCAGTTCAACGCATCCAAAACGATTATATTCTCGGCCAAAATCACCATGCCCTAAAAGCAAAAAAAATATGCATAGAATTCAACTTAAAAAAAAAAAAACCTAGCTAGTGTTTTCCCAAACAAACTTTTTGAAAAGCAATAAAGTTCCACTGGATTAACAAACCTAGCGGCGGTGTATGCGTTATAAGAACATCAATACCAGACGGTATCTGATTCCATTTGTCGAGTAGAGGTTGACCACGCGGTAGATTAAATGCCCAATTATCGGCACTTGGTTGCCTAAATAGCTTGGTCTATACAAAACGTGCTAATACTTGAACGATTCTGGAAATTTATTTACATTATGCACACTGCTTTTTACAGTTTTTCAAATTGTTTCTTCTATTTCCTACAGACAGCAGCACTGATTTTTAGTCACTGTAAACAGTAAAAAAATTAAAACTATTATCTTCCATTTTTTTTCTCCTTTTTATTGTTTTTTTTCCATTTATAATCTTCTTCTACTGTTAGTTTGCAAATTTGATACGAAAAAAAAAGCACTAAACAGTGCAAAAAGTATTGAATAGAAGGAAAAATTCTGACCAGAAAATAAAAAAAAAAAGTGACAATGACAACAGCTGCGATTGTCGTAAGCAAAAAAAAAAAGAAAAAAAAAGAAAAAAACAAAAATAAGCAAAAAAAAACCATTTTTTTAGTAAATCGGAAATAAAAAGGGAAAAAAAAACGTTAGAAATAAATTAGTTTATTGATCAAAGAAATTGAAGAAGCAATTTTGCTTTATTTTCCATCTTTTTTTTTCTCATTTGTTGTGTTATCTGTTGCCGCTGTTAATCAAAAACCAAAACAGATCATTTCAGTAAAATAAATCTGGAGAAAATAAAAAAAAGCCAAGAAGAAAAGAAAAAATTATACATTTCTTTTTCGTTATTTTTTTTTTTAGTCAATTACAATTTAACAGCTATTGTATGGTTTTCGTTGTCTTAAAACGATCTCTGCTTGAGTCGCCGATTAGGACCAAATTTTGGCTTTATACAATTCATCGGCAGGTAACCGAGAACAGCAAAAAGTGAGAAATTGCATATCACAATTTAGTTTTTCTGTCGTTCACCGTGCAGATTTACTAACTTATTCATATTAAAAAAAAAAAAAAAAAAAAGTGAATTGTACCTATGAAATAAAAACTGAAATGAGTACAGAATATAACAAATTGGAAAAAACAATAAAACGACTGAAAGTTTTTTTACTCTGCTCAAACGATACGACGTATGTATCTACATTTTTGACCATTATTAATCACCTAACTGAAAATTTTCTATCTTTTTTTTTTTTTTTTCAATATTAAATGTGTAAATAGCAATGATTAGTAATAAAATTCTGAAATTATTGAAGGTCTTCACAGCTCTTATAAAATAATTATTGTTCAAAAATTTAATTCGTTTTTTCTTTCCTTTTCTTTTTTTTTCTTCCTTTTTTTCGCTGCCGTTGCTAAGGTGTCTGTGAATGTAAACGTGCTAAAAAAAAGAGTGTAAAGCGAAAAAAGAGCCGAATTAGCAAAACAAAATAATTTTCCTAGCAAGTTATATGCAAACTAGTCGGTTCCTTTTTTTTTTTTCTGGTATTTAAATATTCTATTTCGTGCATTAAACCATTTTTTTTTTTACAACTGTAAACTAAATTAAAATTGTGTTGATGTGATGACGAATAAGTTGGTAGCAGAATTTTTTGCTGCTATTATTGGTGCTTTCAGCTAACCAGATACGTTGGCATTGTATCCTATCTGAGGCTAAAACGAGGACTATGCTATAGAAACTCGGAGCTTTTATTTTTAGAAATTTTACACTTTGGAAAATTGATTCTACAAAATGTTTTCAAATCACTGACAGTCATCCATTGATGGATACGGGGGAAATGAATGAAGAAGAGTTGGTGCGGAAGAAAGGTTCTGGGATGAAAGTGGCAGCAAAAAAGGCAATAAAAGCGAAGAAAAAATAATTTTTACAAAATTCAGGAACTAAATTTGACAGTTTACCAAATTAGTGTTAGTTTTTTTCCTTTTTTTTTTTCTTAACAAAAATACAAATTTTAGTCATCATAGCAGTACTTCACACTTATAAGTTTTTTCTAATTATGTGCCGTTAAAAAAATACAGGCTAGCTGCTATTTTGTTTTTCGCTTTCTCCAATTCTACTCTATTCTGTTGCTATCGTTAAAAATTAGCTGCATAAAAATGGTTACTAATAGTCTAGTGAAAATAGCCTAGTGAATTTCTTGACAGAGTTAAAACATTAGAATCTAATTAATTAGTTTACAAATTCTGAAAGAATAGTTCTTTTTTTTTTTTTTTTGTTTTTGTTTCGTTTTTGTTTTGCTACGTCAAATAACATGTGATTTGGTGCGAAAAAAATATTTCTCTTTTTATGTTAGTAGATAAATTGAAAATTTCTTCATGGCGTCATTTACAAACCTTAAAATATACAAACAAAAAAATTAGTGTATTTTTGTTTTATGCAAGTTTTTTACAAGTCTTTGAACAGTGGTATACTGATATTGATTCTTGCTGATAAAAAAGAAAGTTGCGGTAATTTGTTATATCAACCTTCTATCAATGTGAAAACACACCAATACAACTGTCTATTAGATGGCGGTCTGATAATGCTAAACTTCTGGTACTAAATTAATGGTTGATAGCATCAGTTTCGCAAACACCGTACTGAGCTGTAGAAACATTTACTAATTTTGAAATCAAACAGCTGTTGTGATTAATGTCATGCTAATGGTCATTAGTATGGTTTGAAAAAAGTGATTTTCGAACTATTAGCAGCAGTCTGGACTACCTTATTAAGGCTTCGCGGTAAATGTTTGTCAAATTTTGAGGTTCTATAGATATAGATGTAAATTAGAATGACATAAGCGTTATGAAATTTCAGGTTTCTCGGTTTTTACGACGCTGTTGCTTACAGGATGTTTCAAGAGCACTACAAGATATATTCTTTATTGCTACTGCTACTAAAAACTTTCATTATTGACGAAATTTGAAAAAAAAATAAAAAGTGTTTTTTCCTTATTTATTTCTGAACATAATAGATAATTATTGTTGAATGCAAACAAAATTCTTCAACCATTACAGATCTAATAAAAAAAAAATAGGTTCCGTTATTATAAGTAGTTTAGTTTATTTGTTGTCTTTAATAATTTAGAAGCAATTCAACTTACCAAGGCGAACCATAAATTTTTAGGCCGAATAATTCAACCATTGAGTCCTGTAGATAAACTGCATTTGTCAATAGCGACTTAACACTTGAAACTTTGGCAGCTGATAACGCTGCATTTAGTGCATGTTTTAGAGCCACTTCTTTAGATGCACCACTTCCATTTCCTAAGAAGAAAAACAGGTTGAGTACTTTTTCTAGCCTTTTTTCTCTACGTGTTTTGAAACTATCTAATATAAGAATAAGAGGAGAAGAAAGCAAATTTGAGAACGGTTACAGGCAGAATGAAAGTGCAAATATTTCTCTGAATCTGAATCCACCTAACAAACATCATTCTTTTGTGTGTAGACGATTTAAACTGTAAACGACTATGCCAACGGCAAGTTACAATAATAAAAATTTTCAACCTGTTAGCTACAAAAACAGTTTCTCCTCTTCCGTATTTTCTCTCTGCAAAAGCAGTTATAAGGCTTCAGAAAAAAACCTAGCTAGGCACTGTTATTAATACTAAAATGTGTAGATGAAGCGTTGTATGTTCACGTTTGGAAACTTTTGCTCTTATTCATGTAGCAAATACAATTTTTTTTAGTCTGGAAAAACCTTACAATTTTTTTGGTGTCTTCCTTCCTTCCACTTATATTTATCTATTAATATCAACTAATCAACAACTTTGAATACTTGATCTTTAATAGTTTCACTTGTATGTGAAAGCGATTTTAGTTATTTAGCCAGTTTCTATCTTGCCTTAGCTAAAAAAATCCAATATCCCAATTTGCACTTCTTGTCAAAAATTGTATCATTGCTAACCAAAAAGTGGGTTTTTCACCCAATAATATTCTAAACGCTAATGCATTTTTGTTTTTTGAAATGTTAATCTTCAAAAGGTTTCCAACTAATTGCAAAGTTTCAGTTGGACGGTCAGCAAAAAAAGTGAAAGTAAAAAAACTGGCTTCTTTTTTTGTTGTTCTAAAGAAGACTGGAAAACTGCTGAAAGAAAAGACTGGTAAACAACTGGACAGTCAATAAACCATAAACTATAAGAATACAAATTTTGTGTAAATTAAGATTTTTTGAAAGTATGATGTTAACTAAAGGAATAGCCAGAAGGAAGAGGGTGGGTTAGAAAAAATGGTTAAACTTAATGACAAATAGGCTGTTTTATAATTGAAAGAATAATGAGAATCATACATTCAGTTATGGGTGCTATTTGAAATTGATATTTATGGTCAGCACAATTTTACTTTAAGGGACACCTTGATGGAAAAGGGAATGAATATACTGTAAGCTTCTGTTGCCTGTGGCAAATTGTGTCGCATAAAAGTGCGCGCTCACTTCGTTTGTTGAAAGACGAAGACATTTTTGCCGAACACTTAGTTTACATATAGAAAATTTTGAAGAAAAAGTTGTATAATAGTAAAAAAATTCTGCTAATATGTCCCTTTGTTGCTTTTAACTGTCAAATTTCGTTTTTTTTTTTCTTTGGAGTCTTTGAGCAAAAAAAATATTGTTGAAAAAAGTTTCAGTTACTGGAAAAAAAACTTTTCTTGCACCATTATTCAAACTGCTAAAATTTTATGCATTAAAATTGACATACCAACAAATAAACTATCTCCCTTTTAATTTTTTTCTCGAAATAAAAGAGCTTTTTTTCCTTTTTTTTGATGAATTTATTACTTACATTGTCATTTCGTCATTATTTAGCTAAAAACGAAAGGAAAAAAAAACATTAGAGGAAAAGGTTATGCTGCAAAATGGTATGCTGCAAAAAGCTTGCATGCCACAGTTTCTCATTTTACTTTTCATGAAATTAAAATATATTTCAAAACAACATGACTGCTGCAAAGTCTATGTTTAGTAATTAGTTGCTCTGGAGAGAAAAAAAAAGTGTAATAAAAAATGAACAGACTACGGTTTGACAGCATACAAAATTGATATTTCACACTTTGGAGTGATAGGGAACGGCGGGGTAGGGTCGAAGATCGAGAGGTGAGGACAGATTAAAAGAGGCGAAGAATCATTCTGTCTGTGTTGATGTGCACTTAACAGTTAAGGAAATTAGAGCGTTCTAACTTGTGATAAAAGATCAAAATAACAAATCGCTATTTGAAGTGGAATTGACAAAATAAAACGTTCAACTGATTATTGCAGCTTTCAATACACTAAAACAAGTAAAACCTGATGCTTTTAAGAAATTTTCGTCGAAAGTACAGTCATGATTACCAGCGATAACGACTTTGAACGAATGCTTTAATTGACCTGCAAAAAAAAAAGCTATTGTTGTGCTTAGATGTTAGTTACGTGTTACACTTTGCCGGTTCCGGCAGTTTTGATCTCTAAAAATTATAAAATTATACAAAATGTTAAGAAAACGCTTACATTATTTCTACTGTTTATATTATATTGGTTCATCAAAACTTAATTTTGAAGCGTCTGATGTTTCATTGAATTACGACAAGAATGAAAAGCAAAAATCTGTTTAACAAATCATATTTACTTTTATTTTCATTTATTATACTCCGCTATACTGCTGAAATATATGCTTCTTTCTTTCTAGTTTTTTTTAAAGATTTATTCACTATACCTAAAAATTCATTGAATGCTTTAATCTCGTCTGGCAAACCACAACTAGTAAAATCCCCAGCAACAATCAGAATATCACCGGGTGGCAGCGATGTTGGGTCGAGTGTCATACCATGAACACAGGCAATACATACAAAACGGACATGATCCAATTTGATTGGTGCATCAAGTTTCATCTCAAAAACTCTCAATTATAACTCTGACAATTAACAAGTTGAAAATATCATTTTCTCATATTTTAGGCTACTAAAAACGCTATGCTTTTTTTTCCTTCTAATTCAGATACCTGACGTACTGATCGAACCGGTCGTTTGATCTTCAGCATTTCCCATGCTACCGATGGATCGTGAGTGAATCGGTGTAAAGAAACCTAAAGCGATTTAGGAATTTAGCTGATAGATGTATGATTGATCACTATCACCACCAACATCAATCAACAGCAGTTATCTTTACACAGTGTCACTGCTTTGGTCTACTGTTAGTGTACAAAGTTTTGTTCAGATTGCAAAATAGTTTTCCACCTTTTCCTATTCCCTCTAAAAAGACCCCTGTTTACCCTTTAAAATTGTTTTGATCTTTCTTCACTTTGAATGATCAAATGTCTTATCTAAATTTTTTCTTAGACTGAACGTAGGAAAAAAGTAAATGATGTCAGCAGGTTAACTACAATACAGTTATATTGTACTATTAATTACTTAGCAAGCTCCTTAAGCGTTTTTATATGTGTAAAATCTGGTGTTTCCCTATTTAAATTAATATACGAAAAATTTTTTTTTGCTTGATTAATAAAGAAAGCATTGTTTTGCAACTTAATTTTGTTTTCAAAAAAATGTAAATAAAGTAATCAAATCATTGTTCTGTTTGTATATACCAGCAACACCATCTTCCCCATTATTACCTCAAACACCATCATCATCATTATCAACACTGGTACCGCTACAGTATCACCTTCACCATCGTAGGAAAAAAGATAACAACACCAGTAACTTTATCCGATAATAACAGCACTAAAGTTCGCATTCGCTTAACTGAGAAATTACTTTTTATTTTTATTTTTGACATTCTTGTTGTCATTTTTGCCGCTACAACTTCTGCTAATGCAAAGCAATATCACTGCCCAAAAATTCAGTTGATCTGCCGCTAAGCGAGTTTAATTTCATTATTACTACCAAATTTTAAGTTAAATTTGACACGCTGATATTAAGCAAAAAAAAAAAAAACAGTTGTAAAGTAGAACGAAAAAGAAAAGAAAAAAAAACAGATTTTTTGCATATTAAAACAGTTGTATCAGCAGCATTCCTAACCGACAGTTTGAAAACGGTTTACAGAGCAAAAAGAAGTGGTTGACTGCGGAGGGTGGCCAATTAAAACGATTTTATTCTACCACCAAAATAAACTCATCCGCTAACATTAAGCGATTATCATAATTAATCAATGATATCGTTGTGTATTTGTGTATATCAGTAGTTTTTCACAGCAGTTTAGAAGATAGCTAAACTTTGTTGATTCTTAATAAATCTGTGCGTTAATGAGCTAAGTCTACCTGAAGCTTATTTCCTGAACATATAACAATAATAATAATATTATTTTATATTAACATTTATTAAAAGTGAGAAATTCTTCTATAATCCTGACTAATAGTAACTTTTATATCCTATTCTAATAACTGAAAAACAGAGAACTCTTAAAACAGAACAAATCTTCAGGGATCATCAAAAATGGCTTAGTTAAACTAACTTTCCTTTAGACTTTTTTTTGACAAATTCACAGCTTATTTTTAATTTATTACCTAAAAAAATGAACAGTTCTGTGCAGAAAACAGGTATAAAATAAAAATACTTGACTTAGAAACAAATACAGTACCAAAAGGTCTAACCATAAACGACAACATGTACTGATACCTTAGCCTGAATTCCCGGATGCAAAATCTCGAAATAATCTGTAAAGCAGTACCATCTGTGTTCAAAATATGCGTATTCATTAACAATTTTCACTTCTTTTGAATGCTCAAGTGATGTTCGAAAGGCTTGATAATAGCCGAAGGTATGCCTGCGTTTTGGCCGCCTGTGATTGTCGTCGCCTTCTTCTTCTGGTTTTCGTAACTTTGCGGTGGTTAATTCTCTGACACAGAATCTCTGTTTGTCATCCCAAATACGATCGGATGACGATGATGTATATATCGCTCTCATTGTATTTAACAAAAATCTAGATTAAAGGAATGAAAAAATACAGTTTTTTTTTTTT